ACTGCTGTTGTGGGTCTTGTGTCTAAGGCAGGGCACAGACAGTGAACATAACCTCACCCCCTTCTTTTCCATTACTGCCTGTGTTTTTCTCTGCTGTGTATCCTTGGTGTCTTGTCTTGGCCTCCTTGATTCTCTGCACTCCTGGGAGTGCCTGACAGTGGAGATGTTTGGACCCCTTCAGGAAAGAGACTTCACAGCTCAAATCAGAGGCCCCTGCTAACAGACTTCACCCCCGACCCCTATGACCTTCTCTTAGGGCCTCCTGAGAGCTCAACTCCCCCTGCTCCTGCCACCACCCTAGGGTGTGTGTAGGGGTTGGAGGTGGGGGCTGTGCGCCTGCCTGGAGAGCCCTGTGGTTTGCTTTGTGGTTCCCACGTGGCCACCAGCTAACCAGAAGCTCCCCTCCCATTCTCAGCGTCGCTGGCAGGCATGAGACTGGAGGAAGGTGACATTGCGGTAAGGCGACTTCCCACACCCATAGGCTCTTTCTGTTTCCACGCTCACACCCACACTCTGATAAGTAGCAGAGATACTGCTGGGACCCAGACCCTGAAGGACCAGGATCTGGGTCCCTGTATATCAGAGTGTCTGCCAGTTCCAGAAGACAGTGGAGGGAGGGGATGGGGGCGCACATCTTTCTCAGAAAGTCATTGTTCTTTGCTGGATGGGCAGGACCCCTGCCTGCTTCACAGTGGCCAGTCTTAGTGCGTGCAGTGGCAGAGGGTCAGACCTGGGGCCAAAGGGCTGTGAGCAGCCCAGATGAATAAGGAAGACATAACCCAGGCCTTCCTACTTCTAGTGGGAAAGTCATGTGCGGAACCAGCCATCACCCAAACCATTATTTAGATGCAGTTGTGGGAAATCAGCACAGAAGATCCATGAAATCTGCATCTGGGGAGCTAACTCCTGGCTCATCTGGTGTGGGAGGGTCAGATGTGGCTCTGAGAAAGTGGCCTTGCATCTGAGGTCTGCAGCGTGAGTAAAGTGACAGGGTTAAGGTGGGTGGAGTACAGCGCGTCGCTGGCAGAGGGCAGTGTGTGTGGGCAAAGCCCAAGGCGCCCCACCTCTGCCCATCTCTCCCCAGGTCAGCCTGGGCACCAGTGACACCCTGTTTCTCTGGCTCCAAGAACCCATGCCTGCCCTGGAAGGCCACATCTTCTGCAACCCGGTTGACTCTCAGCACTACATGGCACTCCTGTGGTGAGCCTGGGTGTTGGTTGGCACCATTCCCTGGGTGAGGAGGTGTGAGCAGATCTGGCACCATCTTGAGGACCCTAGGTCCTTCCACTAAGCTCTGGAATGACTCCCTCCACTTTCCCAGGCTCTGCTGGGCAGCTGAGACCCCCAAGGACTCACCGACAGGGTGGTGTTGCTTCAGTGTTTGGCAGTGCAAACGATGTTGAGATGCACATTCGGTCTCATCTCTTTGTTGTTACTGGTGATTTGTGAACAGGAGGGGCACGCCCAGTTTGTGACAGGGAGTGGTGTGACTCCAGGCTCTGCAAAACATTCCTTCAGCTCCAGTGACCT